AAAAAAATTATATAAAAACAAATTATCTTTCTATCAAATTTTCTTGAATTTCCGCATACGTCCAAAACCGCTCATTCTTGAAATGGAAATACAAGTTTTCCATCTCAAGCTACGCCTAAGGCTAAAGAAAATGACTTTTCCGGGGCTTGGGTAAAGGTACATTAAAGATAGACTATAGCAATTTACCATATTGTGTACATGTGAAGGCCGAATTTACCAGAAATTAGTTCCTTTTTTGCCACTGCATGAACATGGAGCAATTAAATTCACAAATCTTGCATAAAATTTAGTTGAAAAGGAGAAGGCATCACTATCCTACAATCCTGCCTTAAAAACTGTAACTAAATTCCTTCCTGTTTTGATGTTTGGAAACACAGTTTCCCTTCTCCTCACAAAAGAATTGACCTCAAAAACAAATGAATCAAAGAAAGGAAAAAAAAGGGGTAAAGGGAACCTCAAATATACCGAAGACCATCACCGTCTTCATGTATCAATTCCTCCCAAAATCATGCTCATTCTTCTGTGATCATAAAACAAATTTCTTCTTGTAATGGGTGTGGAACTGGAGCTGAGTATATAGCCAATGGAGGACAAGGAAGATTGCAGCACTTCCAGTCACTAACAGATTCCCCACAATAGCTCTTTGCTGTGATACTTGGGTTCAATTTCCACCCATAATCAGCTAATACAATCCATACTTCTCCATGGAGTCTCTGAATTGTAATTTACACAACCTGCTCGCCAATCAAGTCTAGACCAACTAGGAGAAATGATATCCCCTGGAATAGCAAGAAGTAGAAATGGATACCCTGAGCAGACAGGAGACTCCTGGCTGAAGCGGTTAAAAGAAGGAAAGCAAGTGCTAATTCTTTCATATATATCCTATTATGCTTCTTCTTTTTGCGAGCCTTTTGTTCCTGCTGCTGAATCTCTACCTTCATTTCTTCTAGATTGGGAGCTGAAACACTGTGATGATGCTTTTGCTCTTTCTCAACTAAAGAGACAAGGTCTCCCTCCGAGGATCGCCCTGATTTTTTAGTAACCACCCACTCATATGCACTACCTAGCTGGAAAAGACCAGAGATCATCGCATTGAACTTAGTCACTGACATGGTATTCTCAAAGAGAAGGTAAGGAACAATGAAGGGGAAGGATTTAGGGGCTGGGAGGATGTTGAGAAAGGACATGGTAGCAGGAATGTAACAGACAACCCAAGCTGGGAGCTCAGCCTCCGGAACAAACATGGTCATTGGGAGAATTATGCAGAAGAGAGTGAATGAATAAAAGGGTAATATCAACTTTCGGAGGAGAAAGAACAGAAAGATCAAATTGAATTTCTTCCATACACTAATCTGCATCAATCAAAAACACAGCACGATTCAGGAACTAGAGTCAAACATGCATTACTGAATGTGTCTAAAGGGGACAATTCCTACTTTAAGCAATGGCCATTTGAAACAAAAATATTATATTCACCTTTGCACGGACGATATCTGGTAAGCAGAGGCGGAACAACTGCATAGGTCCAGAATGCCACCTGTGCTGTTGCTTTCTATAAGCTTCATATGACTCAGGTAATTCACACTGGCACTGAACATGTCAAATGCAACAATCTATTAAGTGCAAGAGTAGTAATTACAATTCCAGATTCAACGCACAAGACTAAGGCCAGAATTGTACCTCAACGTCATTAAGGAAAATAAATTTCCAGCCTTTAAGGTGGGCACGGACCGCAATATCCATATCCTCTACAGTGGTCCTCTCCAACCACCCACCAGCATCCTCTAATGCCTTGATCCTCCACACACCAGCAGTTCCATTGAACCCGAAGAAATTAATGAAAACACCATTCACTTGTTGCTCTACCTCAAAGTGAAACGACAAATTGATGTTTTGCAATCTTGTTAGCAAATTCTCATCCTTATTCACAAAAGACCACCTAGCCTGAACGAGGCCAAGTTCCTCATTATCCTGTAGCATTAACATGGGCGAGATTAAAGGATTTCCCTTTTGACAACCTTAACGTGCCCAATTGCAAGTAATCTTAACTTCAAAGCAATATAAATCAGCTCAATTACCTTGAAATGGGGCACAGTTCTCTTGAGAAAATCAGGGGTGGGCTGAAAATCAGCATCGAAAATGGTAACAAATTCGTAGTCCTTAACAGAGCTACAATTCATTGCAGACTTAAGATTTCCAGCCTTATAACCATCCCTAATTACGCGGTGTCTATACACGATGTTGGCTCCTTCTTGCTCCCATTTCTGCACCTCTTCTTTTATCAGCAATTGTGTCATGGGGTCATCGGAATCATCGAGAACTTGGATTAAAATCTTCGACTTTGGCCAGTCCAAATTGCACACCGCACCTATGGACTGTTGATAAACCTACAATTCAAACCAAACTCTATAACTTCAGTGTCTTAAATAGTGAAAACTAAAGAATTGTGCAATGTATGGCTGTGATGTTATCTTGTTCTTACCTCTCGTTCATTACACATGGGGATCTGAACGAGAACCATAGGATAAAACCCTTCTTCCCCGGATTCAACATCTGGAACTGCATCTTTCTTGGGGATGGGTTTGATCTTTTTGAACCGGATCCAGAAACAGCCCAAACAGAGGATTAATCTATCCATGCTCTGGATAAGAAACAGCAAAATGCAGACATTTGCCAGGAACTGAAGAGGAGGAGCAAGATACTCCACCCGAATCAAAACCCAGTTTGTATAAAACCAATCAAACACATCCTTAACGGCGAACGGAGTCGTGAAAATATATTGAAGTTGCAGATTCGGCGCCCCGAAGTGCCAACCCTTGAAATATGCAGCTATCTCAAAACACAGTAAAAACAGAGACAGCCAGAGGAACACCCTGATGCAATTATAGAACCTGGTTTTAACAGTCGGGTTTTCATTTCCCATGCTGCTAGTGTCTGTGTCAGCGTCCAAGTCGATATCAGTGTCGGTTTTCCCGGCGGCTAGGCGGCGGCGAATGGCGGAGCCGAGCCCAATCAATGCAGAGCCAATGTAGGTGAGGCAACCGGCGGCACGGTGGGCTTTCAAGAGAAGGACCCAAGTGAGCTGCCTCGCGTTCTTCCCACGCGCTTTGTCCCTCTGACGAACCGGCGAGCCTCCGATGAGGAAATCCTCATCAGAAGGACCCTCAAGCTCGACCATTGACCAGTTGGGGTTCTCCATCTTGACCACCACCGGTGTCCCTCTGTGGCTCTCCTTCGCCCACCAATCGAAAGGTGGCGCCATTGCTATTCCACCCTGTTTAAAACGACCTCAAAAACAAACGATTCCCGGAAAAAAAGAGCTAAAATGCAAAGACCCCAGATGAAAATAAGAGAAAAGATTAACACTTTGACACCATTGTAAGAGCAAAACAAAGCAGAAAAATGGAGAAAACAGAAGTATGGCTCTGGAAATCGGAAGGAAGGCGTCTCCCAAAGATGTGTGCCATGAGGACACAACTTATACAAGGAGAGAAAGTGGAAAAAAATAGGAAAGAGTCCAAAAAAAAAAAGCCACTCTCACATTCAATTACAGCTTGCACAAAAGAAAGAGGATATACCTTCAAATAAATAAAATGGGAACAGCTCAACACGTCTTTGATTTTGATTTTCCGGGGAAATTTTTTTTT